GCTGAGACATTAACATATGTATGGCAAGGGTTTCTGCTAATTTGAGGTTTTTACTTTCTGAATCAGTCAGTTTCACAGAGTACTTAGAGCACAGCTTTTAGAGATGTCAGTGGCAGCCATGCAATGAACACTGCCACATCAGGATGATCAAACCAAAACCCCCAGAAAATCTGTTATAGAATTATTATCCAATTGTAAGGCTTTTAGAGCAAAAAACAGGAAAAGTTTTCCACAGCGGAGTTCAGTTGCTTTCATGAAATGGCCTTCATTTTGTAATCCCCGGCCTCATCCACATTTTATCTTAATCTTCTACAGCAAATGAAGGAGGGATCACACAGCCAGCATAATTTACCATAATTTTTGATTCATCCTTTTAATGCAGGACACAAAGCATGTGTTTTTGTGCAGTTATAACATGAAGAAAATTCAGTATGGGCACATAGCACAAATTAAGATTCTGTCATTTACTATTAGAAGATGAAATCAGTTCCCCTCCAGCATTTTATGACAGGACAGCACGCTGCATCACTAGTTCAGATTCTTTAGCTCTCCAGACCTTTGTTTTTTGGGAGGGTAGAGTGATCTGGCAACGCTGATTACCAGCTTCTGGGCAGAGGTGCTACTCAGGAGGAGACATTTTGAAAGAAGTCAATAAGTCACAGGACAATTTTGGGCTTCGTAATACAGAGCTCACCCTACCAAGCGCAGCTTCTTTTTCTGCTCAGGCTCAACCCAGCTGCTTCACTCCCACCCTTTTTTGTCTGCTTGCCATCATCTCATCCCCTTCTTTCTGTACAGAATCCTAGCTCTGATCTCACCATCCTCTGACTTCATTCTTCAGATGCTCACTCCCTTCTCTCAGAACTCCCTGTCCCTCTCCTTTAATTAACTTTCTCTTCCCTGCTGGCTCCCTCTCTCACATCCCTTTCCTCAGTCTCTACTCTCCTGGACTAATAATCCTCCTGATTTCCATTTTCCCTTTCTAAGTGGCATTAGTCTTTCCCCTCAATTCTCTGTTCTATTGTCCCATCTACCTGTCCCTTTTGTCCCTGCTTTTGTTGTCCTTTTCCAGTCCTTCCCAATCCATTGTCACATCCTCTGTCTTTCACACACAACAATTATGAGTTCCTGATCCTCTCAGCTCCCTGTGACTCCCAGCCTTGCACCAGACATTTCAAAGTCTGATTTGATGGCTTCCAAGTCATGGCACTCAAGAGAAAACTCATGCTGAGATGGCTGGTGACAGATCCTCTGAGTGTCACACTGGTCTCTAGCAGCAAGTAACATCTATGAGAAAAGGTTATTTTTGCTTTACTGCAGCCAGGCTTGAGCAGCCTCATCAGCTCTAGTGGGATGGCTGTCAGAGGATTGTCTCTCAGCACAGTGATATTGTAGAGAGATTCTTCAAAAGAGCTGTTTAAGAAAATGCTTTGCTTAATACAAGATTATCCAAATTGATCAACGTATGCAAAGTACCAATTCCTCATATTCAGAAAAAATTTTGGAAAAGTTTTGCTTGTCTTCTTGCTCAAGGTCCACAGATTGCACATAAAATTTCAGAGCAAATGGTTCAAGTCTGGTAGAGTTGTTATAAACACTCAAGTTTTCAACTTGGGTAGCTCCTGGGGCTGTAAACAAAGAGGTGAAAACATTCTTGCCCAAGCAGCAGCTGCAGGATCTAAGATCTAACTTTCAAAGTTTCATTTTACCATTTTGTAGATTTTAACTACCCTCTAACTACAGTAAATTTTCCTCCGGAAATCTAGCTTGAATCCCTGATTTTCTGTAAATATACTGATTTTCATGTTATGCACACGTAGATTCACAAGAAGCACGTTGTTCTTCTAACTACAGGAAAGCCAGACAGATTAAGGCCCAAGTTAAATTAAAGAAATAACCAAATATTGTTATTACACAATGATTATTTGAGCTTGTGCAAAGGCTGAAGTAATTTCACTTTCCTATTTACAAATCTGGAAGGAATCTTAAAATATGTTACAAACTATGTAAACAGGAGCACAATCATAAACTTGCAATTTTCTGAAGGATTCAGGATTGTCTCTTTCCCACATTTGACAGAAAGCATTTGGTATAAAAGATCTTGGCCTTGAAAACAGCTGTCACCTGCATGAAGTACCAGAACAAGTAATGAGATTCAGATGGTTTAAAGAAAGTTGTCCTTGGCATTTTAAAGTGAGGGTAAAGGATGGAAAAAACATGAGGGAAGAACAGAAGGAGGAGGCTAAAGGAGCTGGAGGTACAAACAGAAATAGGATTGGAAACATCAGGTAGAGGTACAGAGCATAAAGGGTTAAAATTGTAAGAGTTGTAATTGTTTTTCACAAGGAGCCTGCCAAATCCCTTTTGGAACTCACTTTGAATACTTTTCAATACTAATGCTCCTCTGTTTGCTTAATGATTGATAAATGAATTGTTTGAGATCCTGTCACTTAGCCAAGGCCCAGGAGGATAAAATAGCCTTTGTCCCCAGAAAGAAAACCAAAGGCACTCTGGGGGCACAGCCGTGCACTACAGAGGTTGCAGCAGCTCCAGTTGAGTATCTTGCTAAGAGAAAAGATGCAGCAGCAGCCAGAGCAGTGCCAGCCACACACCTGAAGTGACTTGCCAGCTTTGCAAGGGAGGTGGTGACCCACCCAGGCAGAAGTTCATCCTGGCTACACATCCAGAGCCACCAGTTCCACAGCTGGAGTCTGAATTCATTTATCTCCATGTTATATTCACTGCTGTTGTGTGGACAAAAACCATGATGCAGATGCTGCTTTGTTTTCATAGAAGGCTCTGCCTGGGACAGTGCATTCCACTTGGGAAGATACTCAGGTGGTTGCCAGTATGTACAAAGCTTGATTGCTTGAATTAATTTGATTATTTAGATTTTGGAGGGAAACGTTTTTCATACATAAAATAAAAAAATTAATGAACACTCTCAAGGAAGAGAGTAAAAACAGTGATTGAACTTCAGCTGTTGAATGGAAAACTAAAGGGACACAGCTTGAATGGATCCAGGTAAATCAAACTAGTAGCTTTTGTACTATATATACTCCTTATTTTACTTTCAAGAGAATTAGAAGGATATGTAACTTTGTAGAAATTAAAAAAGAAAATACCAGTACCAAACATAAAAACCTCCAATACAAAACACAGCTGAACTTGCAGCCATCCACCGAAAAAGAAAGAAAAATTTTCCACTTTCTAAGGACAGCTATCCTTACTCCAGGAATGTTTAATACCAGCTACCCTAAAGTCTTGGGCAGAGCTGATGTCTATTGAACAGATGAATTCAGCTTGTAGGTGTGGTTATAATTTGCATTGTTGACTAAAACTCTGAAAGGCAGTGAAGCTGTGAACTGTGCACTGAGCAAGGTGAGGAGATGTGACAGCAACAGGAGCAAAATAGAGCACTAACAGGTGCCAGAGACTCTGGGCATGGATGTGCTTTAATCTAAGAATTCAGTCCTCACTTTAACAAATCTAAATGAGTCATGTGGTTTTCTTATAATACCCTATACATGATGTGTAAACCCAAAAAGGTAATGGCCATCATAATTAGTAGGCTTGTAGTCATTTCCTTATTTGCTATCCTATTTTGCCGTATGCTTTAATATATTCCAATATGTTTAATAAACTCCACAGCAGAGATGAATTTAACGGCGGAAATTATAGCAACAATTGGCACATATTTTATGTTTTAATGTTTTGGCATAGAAAACAGTAATGTGAAAGGCTTAATTTGTTGAAAATTCTTAGCCTTTATTTTGCATAACTGGAAGTACTATTTTAAATATTGAATTATCGCTCATGGAAAATGCAGGTGCATATGAAACCAGACCTTGCTCACAGGTTTGATACTACATCATTATTGTTGCTTTCTTAATTCCAAATACATTAATATCACTGCTTTTTTCATGCATGCAGCTTGCAATTATGTATTCCTCTAAACCATACAGGAACTGCTTAGTGTTTTTCCACTGATTTAACTGAGTTTTGCAACTGGAAAAATAGCTGTGTATGGAGCTCTATTTCCCAAACTCCTAGGGGGGCAAAACCCCTAACAAATCTTATCTTAAGCAGCAGCCTATGAACACATGAACCCAAAATTATTTCATTTAAAAACAGGAAAGAGAACAAGCTGTTGCACAATACAAAAGAAGATGACAGAATTCGACCTTTTGGTCCTACTATTTTAACAAAACTGTTCATATTATAAAGAGTAGCTATTTTCATCTACACAATTAATGAAACACTATTTTAGTATGGGTGCTGTGCAATAGGAAGCAATTAATAATTACAACTAAAGAAAATGATAATCATTAGTAACTTTCAGCATGTAGATCAGCACCAGCAGCTTCACACGGACAGCTTTACCAAGTCCTGAGAAGCACTAACAAACAGGGTACTCAAATGAAATGAAGAAAACACAGCTAAAGTAAGCAGTGTGTCTTGTCTCTCATAACACTGAAGTGACTTGCATCTGAAGGAAAACTAAAATTGAATTCAGTCTCCCTCTTGCATGTTATACTGCCTATCATGCCAAAAATTCCCATTATCTGAACACATTCTGCTCTCTGAGAACTACCTATTCTAGTAGCACTTGCACAGTATCTCTTCAAACTACTGAACTGAGTCTAAAATGCAGATTTCATGGCATCTGAGTAAAGTCCGTTCTGCAGGTACTTTCAATAAATATTTACAGCAAGTATTTTATGCAATGTTTAAGCTCTCTCTCATTTTAAAATTTCAGCTCATAACTATTAATAGTAACACTCAAGGCATTAAGTGCAAAAAACATCTGATCCTGACATGTAGCTAGTAACCTTGAGAGACTGCATTGCACTTCTATTGATTCTATTGAAAAATAATTGACATGAAGAAATGTAAAATAACATGAGATACCACGGTTTTTAAAAGAAATCCGCTCCCGAAGTTTATCAGCTCTCTGCTTTGCAATGTTCAAAACAAGAAAGGAAGCCAGGGGCACTTACCCTTGGTACCAAAAAGCAAGAGCATGTAGAAGCAGCAGTTGGGTGTCATATCTGTCCTTCAGGGGTTCAGTGGATAAAGTCAGGGAGTGCTGTCCTTCGAAGTGCACTCCAGCCGAAGAGCTGCTCGCACAGCTCTGAGAGCCCTGAGCTGTGTGTCAGGAGAGCTCCTGCTCTCCCTGCCTTCCTCCCTACTCGCCTTGGCTCTCCCTCTCTCCCCCTCTCTGGCACACAGGCACATGAAAGTTTCCAGGATCACACTCAGCGCTGCCTTGCAGGCTGGGATGTGCTCTGTGGCAGCCAAAGGCTGGGCTGTGTGCATGGACACGGCTCTGCCCCAAGCAAAGCTGCTGCTGCTGCTGCTGCTGCATAAAACACAGCCAGGTCCCCAGAGCTGTCATCAATAGCCCAATCATTCTTCCTTCTCTTTTTTTATTCTCTTCCTAAAATTTCAATCCTGCAAGAGGTCTGAGAAACAGTTTTATTTAGTCTAATCTGTTTGAAACCAAATGTTTTCTGTAGTTTAGATAAAAACTGGAGGTTTTTCAACTAAGGGGAAGTGAAATTTATAAATACAGTCCCTTTGTAGCAATCCAGACACTCAGTGAAATATAGAAAAATGCACAATATAATTTATTTCCAATATCAGCATGTCACTACTTTTACACACTAACCACTCTTCGTGACTAATGCTAAGGAAAGCAATCTGAAAGAACAAAGAGGAGTGTTCAAAAATGTATTCTTTATGAGGAAAAGTTTTTTCACAGATTTTTGCCTTACTTGAACACTGAGACATTCCTATCTGGCCCTTGATTTTACTGTCACCGGTAGATCATGGTATTCCCCATTACAGTCACAAATTAAAATCTGTTTTATAATGTGAAGGCTAACATTTAGCAGCACAGCAAGACATGCTTCAAAACAAGTTGGGCAGTTGAGATGAACTTGAGAGAGGAGTTAAATTTTATGTGGACTCAAAGAATTTCAGATTTTAAGTTTTTTTCTTTTTTTCAAAAAAACCAGCTTGTCAGGATACCAATGAGTCAGAAAGCTCTGGTAACCTGTGAGCAGTTATGTCAGGTACTGAAGGAAAAGAGCTTCTCTGACTAAGGAAATGTGCATGCAAGAACACATCCACAAAATGGTGAATTTAGAAAATTAGAAAAACCTTTATCACAGTCAAAATCTAAGCCCACATTGTTGCTATGGCAAAGTTGTCTACAAAATAGGCATTATGAACTGCCAGCCTCTTGATTTCTGGTATAAAAGAATACAGAACAGAGAGGGGTTTACAGAAAGGTTGTTGTCTATGGAAACCTCAAGAAATACTTTGACATCTACTGTAACAAACAGCCCCAGTAATAGGCAATGTACAGGCAAAAATGGATCAAAAGGATTAGACATAAAATCATTCTTTTGTAAGGTGGGTCTAGCTTTTGAGCATATCAGTTAAGATCACACTTGCTTCAAACAGCTGTTTAAGAGTTAATCTAACTCCTACATACTCTAGGGCTAATGTCTCAGCTGAAAACTCTTCTAAGGTGATAAAATAGAAGAAGAAACTGAACCAAGAAAGTAATAAAAAGTGAAATACTCTTTCAATGATAAGTAAATTAAAAGCTTTACCTCTTCAGTGCAGGGTGAGAGAGAACTCACATTATAAAGAAAGAATTTTCTTTCTTGTATAGATTCCTCTGTAGCTTTCTGCTCCTGATCTAGTCATAATTACTTGAGAAGTGTAAGAACCATACACGTGTTTGGAATAGATCCTTTCACCCGATAATATAATAAATCAAGCAAGCTGCTTCTTTTAAAAGCAGTCTGACCCACTACAAAAGTTGAAGATATTCTACCTCAGAGTAAACAGGGAAAACCCCCAAATGTGGTACATACCACTCACACATATTTTCTGAAGCTCAGCCCCAGTGGGAGTTGTCACTTTTCAGCCTTCCTCTTTTTTAAGGACCTTTAGCGAGGACACCCATTAAAGTTAATTTTGATGCAAATAAACACTTGCTCTATGGAAAATCCATTGAGATCTTCCCTTTTCTAAACTTCTTACGCATTCATGATATCACAAACAGAAGCAGCAGCAGTTTCCAGCCCATTCTCAGTATAATTACATTTAAATCAAGAAACTAGAGTTACAAACACACGCATTGCTGAACTGTGGAATGCAGGCAGGAAAAGGAGGAGATACCAGCTTTTGAAAAGTTGTTTTGGGCTACCTTAGTGGAATGCATTTTTACTTCTTATTAGAAGAAACGTGTCTGTGTATTAGAAGGTCTATAAGTGTTTCCCTCTTGACTAAAATGTAAAAAGTTATGGCATGTTGGCATTTAAGAACTCTTTTCAAGAAAACAATAGGCTTGATAGACTAATTCCTTACACAGCAAAGAAATAAATCATCAGAATTGCATGTTTTCAAACAGCTTTGAGAAGACATTGGACTTCATTGGGATGGTCAGTATTGGCTTTTATTTCTGCTTACAGGAGTTCTAAAATTGATATTCAGTCTAAAGAGTATCTAAACTGAAGGAAATTGTCATATCTGTGGGGGACAACCCCCTCCAAACATTCAACAAACATTGTGCCACCAAACCACAAATTATCAGTACACATTAATGTTCACTAAACATTAATGTTTCACTAAATCCAAATAATTGCCATTTGCCACCAAGAAGAGTCACCTCACCTGTCTATGACAAAGTGTTCATAATCAAATTTTGAACTAAGAGTTAAATAACTGCAATTATCAGACACTTTGAAATAAGTTGCTAGTGAAGTCCCAGCACCTTGTAGTCTTTTTTCCATTGTTCACCTAAGGTGCTAGGTAGAAGGAACTTCACAAAGGTAAAGAAATCATAGCCGCATGCATTATCATTGTAATCTTCATTATTTAAAATAAAAATACACTAAGCTGTAAATCTGCTACAAAGGAAATAAGTTAGAATTCCTTTTCAGCTTGAAGAAAAAAGGTTTACTTATCTGCAGGCTGCAGCTACTCCTTTGAAGGTTAACAAACACTGTACACCAAACTGACTCAATGCTACAACTGATAAGCTTCAGGCAGATGCCGTACAGATAGGAGAAAAGTTGTATCTCTAAGTTTTGGCCTAAATGAGGCAAATGGATTCAGCCAAAATCTACCTGTTGCCATGCTTCTCCAAGTAGTGAGTAGTATGGATTTCAGCTATACTTCTGCTCTTTCCTCATTCTGGAATTTTCCTTTATTTAATTAGAAGTGATTTCAAAGGTCCTTTATGTCACACATCAAATTGAAGCCCCACAAGACAATTGCTATACCAAGGGTGGATTTATTACAAAGAGTTGCTCATTAGGCAAAGCAAATTTTCAGCTGAAAATGCTGATTAACTTGTCAGCTGTTTTGCTGTGTTCCTAGTGAAACACAAAACAGTGCAGGATGAAGCACTGAAAGTAAAACAGGACCCATATTGCCACCTGTGTCATGAAGATCATGTATTACAGCAGTTCATACTTTAAAATGACAGCCCCAGAAATGACCCTCTTGTTTCCTCAGCCATTTGATGACCAAAATCTAGGGTTTGTATTATAGTTATGTGAATAACTAATGGACAGATAAGGCTCCAGAACACAACATTTAAAATCTAAATCCTTCATTATGTCCATCAATCCCACAATCCAAAAGATTTAGCTGTGAAAATGAACATAATTGGCTTAATTATATTTAATTTACACTGCATTCAAAGCTCTGTCAGTTGCAGACAGTACAACTGAGAATAAGACATTTGTATTTTACAGGGCAACTCTTACCTTCAGAGGATTTATTCCTCATTTAACACCCACATCCAAGTTCCCTGAGTTCAGAGCAAAGCAAACTAAAGGACCTCTTAAGAGAAGCACAAGAATGTCTAAGCTCAGAAAGATAGAAAAGACCTCATTTACAGCAGCTCTTTGCAACCATTAAGCTGCACCACAGCATCTTTATCTACCTCTCTATCTCATACACTTGTGCCTCAAGCAGTGCTGTAAAAATGAACTACTTTTTTTTGTAAAGATTACTCTTCCCATTTCACAATTACAGAGATTTAATAGGGTCTATCTCTCAAAACCTGAAGAGCCTGGGACACCTGACCTAATGGGCCAGGCTAACTGTGCAGGCACCTCTGCTGCAGGACCTCCTCACTTCTCACTTCCTTCTCCCTTTTTATCAGCACAGCTGCAGCTACGCTGGGATTACTGACATTGCATTGGAGAAAGGGGAGAGATATTCCTCTCCTGGAAAAACTGAGCTAGATATTCTCACCTGGAAGGCTTTTTCTTCAGTGGAAATGTATGTCCACCAAAAGCCTTAAAACAGAAATCAGTTCTGCCAAGTTATTTTAAGCTAAAGATATTGTACAAAATTTGCCTCCCAGCTGCAGGCTGATCATAACTCCCTTGCTAGGTCTCAGGCTGCAGCTACAGAGGGCAACACAGACAATGGGTTTCAGTTTTCCACAAGAAACAGGCAGACAGAAGAGGAGATATTACTGGATGACTATTTTTCCCTTTTCTTTGTGGATGGGACAGCATATTGCCTGAAGACAGTGGTGTACAGGCAGCAGTAATTTAGACATACAAGCAGCAGTAATTTAGCTCTGAGCTCACTGAAACACTTTCCTCTCTTCTACAAAAGTACCCTCAGCCACTGGGTGCTTTGGTGGCCCTGCCCAGCTGTCCTGCTACAGCTGCTGTGGAAGAAGGCCACAGCCAGAGCAAACTTGCTCATTCCCTCCCTCATTCCTCAGTTTCCTCCAGATGTTTCTTCCAACTGGGTGTTTTGACTAAATCAAATGCCTGACTCAAAGCTGCAACTGAAATGTTGAAAGTACATTTCTAAAAACAACCAAACATATAAACTTTACTAATGATACTCTTCCTAACCAGCCATTTCCAGTCTTTTGACTGATTAAAGATTGCAACAGTATTTTTATGACTGCATGATTACAGGTATGATGTTAATGGCTTTGGTAAATCATTATACCATCTGGGAACATTATAGTAACTGCCTATGACTGAAAGATGCGAGATTAACTGTATTTTAATTTTTCAATATGGCTCTTTCCAAGTTACCTCTGTCCTTCATATTTGAGGCAGTGCAATTTTTGTTTTACAGCACTTAAGATTATAGAAGAAAAGGCAGACCTCCCAAGTATGAATAGCTGAATATCAAAATTGCAAAGTTCACAAAATGTTCACTGGGAATTTATTTATACATTTGAACATGAGATGGTACCAGACATAAACATTGACAATTAAGTCCCACTTTGATAAAATGTACTCTAAAGAGATATAGTACATTAAGTTTTGAGAACTGAAGGTCTTTCAGTAACTCAGCTATGAAACCTTTGTGTTAGAGAATTATCAAAGTCAACTTTGAAGTC